ATAAACTATTTTCATATTATTCTGCGATTATGGCGAAACGAAAACAAAGATGGTACAAGAAGGATGTATTGTTTGATCATAATTTAAATAGTATATGTGTGCTTGCGTTATGTATATGTGTTATATGTGTACGTAGTATCAAAAGATGAACCTAAATAACAAAAAAATATAACGAAGATATCAACAAAATAATAAATTAATAAATATTCCACAAAAAAAACACACAAACTGCCAGTAGATCTTCTCATTTATACATAATAAAAGGAAAATAATTTTTAAGGTGTACAAGATAGTGCAGAATCGGTTTATACATTGTTGAAGATATTTTATAATGATGTTATACGACGATTTTACCTCAACTCAAAATAATTACTGTAAAAAAATCTGTAATGCAAAATGTATTTTACAAAAAAAATATATATTAATTTTTAATTAATTATTTTTATTTTTTTTTAATCGGTGTTACGCGCTATAAATAACTGTTTGTATTTATTAGTTTTGTATTAATCACATCCGTAATTTGTTATTGTCATCTTAAAAAACAATAATATTAATACAAAAATATTGAGATAGAGCGTAATACCCTTAAAAATATTATTAATAACAAAAACAGTTGTAAATACCGCAAAACGATCTAAAATATTCATTCTTAGAGGATAATTTTCAAGTTGAGATGGGACAAAAACTTATTGATTTTCTAATGTATTGGTAATTATTTTAATTTTAATAGACAAAAGGTGATAAAACGTTATGGATACTGCGAATTATCGATGAAACAACAATAACATGAGTCCCCGGTTTCTCGATTGAATATTTTAGTCGTTCGTATTGTACTTTATTGTCTTAAAGAAAAAAAAAGGTAAACCATTTTTACATTTTCATATTCAGAAATGAGTATTATAAAAAAAAACAAATTGTATTGTATTTGTTAAGCGTAGGGCAAATAATGATGTATTATTGATAGACATAACTGAAATAAAACTTGATGAGAAATGAATTAATTTCTTCTTCTATTCTTATATTTGTTTTATTTATTTATTTTTATTATTATTAATCATTAATGAATCGAAATTCTATATTTGTTAAACAATTGATGATATCACCATTTATAAATACTTTATATTATTTACTACTAAAGATAATGATCTTACACAAATCTGTCTCTATTTTCTCAAAAAAAAAAAAAATATGTACAGACGAGATTACATTGTGTAAACAAACTCAAGCACTTTGAATTAGATATACAAACGTGTCAAGACTAGGTCCCATCTATTATTGTGTTTTAATTTAATAAAGGAAACAGAAAGTATCTGTGTACTATCGTACGTAGTGAGGAAGGGTTTCAATAAACATTTTAAGAAAAGAGTTATATAAAAAAATGTTTCCGAGTTAAACAAAATTTTCCACAGTGTTACGTATACTTTTTTCTCAAGTACTTAGCGATTTATTGCGAATCTGGGAACATTTGTGGTCAAACATTTTATTGTACGTTTTATTTTTATCTTGCTTCATTTTTTAAACAAATATTACAAAACAAATTTTTTTTTATAATAATTACTTTTGGTTAAAAGAATAGACACAAATTAACCGACATTTTCAATCATGCAAAATGTCTGTACTTTTTTCATTCCTAAGGACGTCCATTGTATTTGTTTTAAATGGTTCGGCTTAAATGGTATTGTTCACGATTATTAATGTCTTAGCAAAACATTTTTCTTTTTTTAGTACATCATAAATCAAGGGGAAAAACTTTTTCAATTTTAAAGGTTATTTACGCGTTTTTCCTTAATATTTAACCGTTAGTTAAACAAAATAAACTTTAAATTAATATAATCTTAATTTAATCTAAATCTTAATTGTTAATTGTTATTAATTATCTATTGTTTAGTATCAACTTTTTATTGGTACTTTATTTTTTTTTAATACATGTAATATTAAAAACATGGCACTGATTCAAAATGGAACCAAAGTTGGATCTTTCTTGGACCAAAACGAATAATTATCATACATATACAGGGTGGTTCAGTTTTTAATCGGGAAACTTTACTAGGACGTAGTACTTGCCAAAATAACACAAGTTTTTTATATAAACATAGGGTCGCAACTCTTTTGTTTTCGAGCTATGAGCGATCAAAGTTGAGCTAAAAATTTACATTTTATTATTTATTTCGGCTATAAGTAAACCGAAGAATTTGAAATTTGGTATGTATTTACTACTGGTTAACATCTTGTTTTCTAGCATACCTTAAGCTTCCCTAGCGCCCTCTAAGGGGATGAAATTCACCACCCCCTTGGTTCTTTTTAGAAGAACTTTTTAACGCAATGCAATATTAACATAGAAAAATATGGGTTGTACAGCTCATTCTTTAGTGGTTCTTTTTTGTCTCTTTAGTTTTTCTCTTAAAATTGATAGTTTTTGCGTAAAAAAATAAAATATGTTACATTGCGCGGCAAAGCGCTACCTACAAATAAAAAACAAAATTTTAAGTTGGCTATGGAAGATGTAAACTTACCAGGATTTTGGGCTAACACAATAACACAAATTATTTACGATTTCGTCTCTTGACTTGTTTTCTCATTAAAGTAATAAAAAATTTAATTAAATTTAAGTTAAAATAATCATTCAAAAGATAAGTAACATTTAATAATAAATTAAATAGTATACTAAAAAAATGGAAATTACAAGAGAAAAATGTTAAAAAACAAACAGAAAACTAATTAAGAATCAAAATGAAACAAATTTATCAAAAAAACTCATTACAAAAATAAACACAATTAATTTAAAAATTGTTCAAAATGCATGCCATTGTTATCAATGCATTTTTGGCATCTTGTAACAACAGAATTAACTGCTGCTAATATTTGAAACGGATTGTTCCTTAAAGTGTTAGCAGCGTCTTTTATTTTTCCCAACAGTTCTTCCCGAGTGTTTATTGGAGCGGCGTAAACTAGATTTTTCATATAGCCCCACACAAAAAAATCTAAAACGTTAAGATCAGGAGACCTTGGTGGCCAGGCAACGGGACCTCGGTTTGCCTCTTGATAATTGACAGGACCTAGTCGTCCTATCCGTCTATGACCATGCACGTACGTTAGCGCTGTAATGCGATGGTGCCCCATCCATCTGAAGCCAATGTTGCTCCAGATCACCTAGAGGAACGTCCGATAAACATTCCGCCAAATCGTTTTGCAAAAAATTTAAAAACATCGTTGCGTTCAAACGAGGTGGCAAAAAATAAGGCCCACAGAGGTTATTATTAATGACACCCATCCACACATTAAAACTAAACTCTGTTTGGTAGGTTTTTGGACGTATTGCATGGGGATTTTCATGCTCCCAACTATGTAAGTTATGGTAATTTACGACACCCCTTCTTGTAAACGTGGCTTCATCTGTCCACAAAATCTTCTTACAAAAATTTTGGTCACGTTCAACAGACTGTACAAACCACCTACAGAAAGTTACTCTTTTAGGACCATCTTCAGGTCTTAAATTTTGTACAGGTTGAAAACGATAGGGTTTCCTGTGGTCCTTCTTCAGAGTTCGTAAAATTGTACTTCTTGAGACTCGTAAATTTTGAGCTTGAAGTAGTCTAGCAGCTATGCGACTGCTTAATGTGCTGTCATTATCAAAAAGGTTTAAAATTGCTCTTTGGTTTCTGTTATTTTGATTATTTCGTACTTGCTGGGTATTTAAACCATATTGTCGAAAACGTTGATGTGTATTGATAAATACCTGAGGATCAGGACATCTTCTATTAGGAAACCTTCTAGCGTATTCTCTAGATGCCGCTTCCGCATTTCCATCACAAAAACCATAAATAAAATGAATGTCTGCGTATTCTTCTGTCGAAAATAATCGTGGCATGATCAATTTTTCGTAGTTTTTTAAACAATGATCAACAATAAAAAAATAATGATACTTTTACTTAATAACAATCAAGAAATATTTTCAATAATTGTCAACAATTAAGAGGATTTAACGTAACTAACAGCTCGTCTCAATACAAACATAAATTGTTTTTTGAAAATCAAAGCCAACTTTTAGAGTAATTTTAGCTAAGCATGGCGGTACATGGCACGACATTCCATTTTTTTACACAAAAACTATCAATTTTAGGAAAAAAACTAAAGAGACAAAAAAGTACCATTAAAGAATGAGCTTTATAACCAATATTTTTTTATGTTAATACTCCATGGCGTTAAAAAGTTCTTCTAAAAAGAACCAAGGGGGTGGTGAATTTCATCCCCTTAGAGGGCGCTAGGGAAGCTTAAGGTATGCTAGAAAACAAGATGTTAACCAGTAGTAAATACATACCAAATTTCAAATTCTTCGGTTTACTTATAGCCGAAATAAATAATAAAATGTAAATTTTTAGCTCAACTTTGATCGCTCATAGCTCGAAAACAAAAGAGTTGCGACCCTATGTTTATATAAAAAACTTGTGTTATTTTGGCAAGTACTACGTCCTAGTAAAGTTTCCCGATTAAAAACTGAACCACCCTGTATATTTTCTCAATCAAAAATTATGATAGCTAGGATGGAACTGGTTATGGATCATGTTTACTTGGATCATTAAAAGTAATTTTTGTGACATGTTGCTGTGTTAGTTATTATTTTGGAGTAGGCTAGATTATTTAATAGAAATCATATATTTTGGAGATAAAAATTCTGACAACTAAACTAAAACTGGTTGTAGTATTTTGGCAATCACCCCTTAATTTCTGCAAAGTATCGCCAGAACTGCTTATGAGTCAACCTTATTTAGTTTAATACTGCCAATTTTTGTACGTGTCATTATACTCTATCCATTATCAGTTTTGAGTAGATAAGGATACAGATTGATAATAATAAATGATTATCTACGCTGCAACTATCTTTGGTTGGTTGAATAACAACAGTTTTCCTATTAATTGAATAAATTTTAATGGGCTAACAAATGGTTGTGAAGTCTTAAGCATTCAAATGTAACGCAATTTGTATTGATAGCATAAATGTTACTTTAACATAAAATTTTTGTATTTGTAAATATTGATTACGTAGTTTAATAGATAAAAAAGAAAACAATACAATTTGTTTTCAATATCTATTAAGAAATGTTACTATTCTTAAACCACTTTGCAGTATTAATATATAGTAATAAAATTCAATCGTCGTCCTCTAATTGGATCATGAGTCCACGTGTTTGAGATATGTACAAATATATATATATTAGTTAGTTGCGAAGCCTTTGGTGATTAGAAGTACCCGACGTCGGCTCTCATTTCCGAGCAAGGAACGTACCTGTTCCATGAATGGAGTTCGGCATTGTGTGACCGAACTTTTTTTTATTTAAGGGCACCTACAGCTTCGTTTTCGGCTAAGCACGGTAGCAGTCGTCTTCAGGTAAGTCGTGAAATCCCACCTCAAATATCGACGAATCGGTTTTGCGCGATTCTAAGTAAAATCGTGATGACTAAACTAAGTTTATAAAACGGTCGCGCCGTTGTGTTATTTGTGTGCTGCGAATTAGTGGAGGGTTTACCACCGTCAATTCAATAGGTATTTTGAAAAGTATAAAAAGGTGTTGTTGATTTCTGCGATTAATACTGCTTTATTGTACTTGTATGCAATTATTTGGTAAGTTAATTATTTTTAATTTATTAAATTATTTTATTTATTAATTTTAATAAAAAATATAAAAATTAATCTCCCTCAAAAAAATATAAAAAATATAAAAATTAATATATTTATATAAAATTATTATTTA